GGAAAATTGGTTTTTTTGCGTTCCCCACAAAGGGTTTAGGTGAAAGTCAAAGGACTGGAAGAAAAATGAGACCCAAAGTTCTCCTGGAAGCCGGGAGCTCCCCAGAGTCACAGTTGCCAAAAACTTTTACATAACTTTTAGAATCAACTTCCATTTTTCACAGAAAAGAAAAAACCTGCTTGGTTTCTAGTTTTAATTCGAATCAGAATTAAATATTATCTGACACAAATTATTTAACAAATTAAACTATTAAAATATATTACCACAAATGTATTCACATATATTACGACAAATACCATAGTTCCTTGATGCAAATATCGACAACTGTTTTTAATAAAGGAAAATAGGCCTCGCTAGAGCTGCATCATAGTTAAAGAGTTGAGAACACAAAGTACACCCCGGTTGCCTTTCATAATAGCCTGTAATGGGAGAATATTTCCACAAGGTGGCAGTAGTGCATCAACTCAAGTCAAGAAACAAAAACAAAACAAGTTTTTACTTATTCTTGGTTAAAATAGGCCTTTCTGAACGGGTTCTAATGTGTAGAACTAAGCAGTTTGACTTTTTATACCTTTATTACTTATAGTCTTGAATGATTTTAGTGGTTTGAATTATTTTTCATTTTAATATGTTTAAAGGAAGTAGCGCTATGCATATTGACTAATTTGACATGTGAAGGTGTTTTATTCTATTTTCAGAACTATCCCCTCTAAAAAAATGTTAACCTTCCAATAATGATGAATGTTGTTTCTGTTTTGTTAAAAAAAAAGTAAAGGATGCACACAAATATACCCAAATGATTTTTTAAAGGGTACATAAGCAATTCAACAGAGTAAGGATAGCCTTTTCAACAAATGGCACTAAAACAATTAGATATCCATAGACACAAAAATGAGCTTTGACTAAATTCACAGCTAAAACAAAACATTAATTCAAATGGATCACAAAATTAAATGTAAAACTATAAAACTTTCATGAAAAATAATTATAGGATAAATATCCTTGGGACGTGCGGCTAGGCAAGTAATTTTTATGCCTCACCACCAAAGCACAACCCACCAAAAAAAAAAATCTATAAAATTGGATTTCATTAAAATTAAAAACTTTGTCCTGGGAAAGACCCCACAGGGGATGAAAAGATAAACTGCAGACTTGCAAAAATCACTTGCATGCCACATATTTGACAAAGGACTTGTATGTAGAATAGATAAAGGATTCTCAAAACTTATCAGTAAAAAACCAAGATACCCAATTAGAAAATAGGCAAAAGACATGAATAAACATTTTACTAAAAATGATATACGGTTACTAGATAAGTATAGGAAAATATATTCAATACAGCCATTAGAGAAATGCACATTTAACCATGATGAGATATCACTGCACATCTATTAGAATGGCTAAAATAAAAAATAGTGACAACCTCAAATGCTGACAAAGATGCAAAAGAACTGGATCACTCATGCATTGCTGGTGGGAATGTAAAATGAAACTCTGGAAGAGTGTATACAGTTTCTTACAAAACTAAATATGTGCTAAACATCTGACCCAGCAATTGGACTCCTGGGCATTTATCCCAGAGATATGAAATGGGCTTATGTTCATATAAAAACATATACATGAAGGGCTGGCCGAGTGGCACGATGGTTAAGAACTCACTTGGGATGCCAGAGGGCCCCGGTTCGGATCCCACATATGAGGGCCACTGACACTGCCCTCCACAGCTAAGATGCTGAACAACAGCTCGACCTGGAGCTGGGCTGCTGTGAGTCGCCCGCTACAGCATAGGCTGCAGCCCCTGTGGCAGTGGGTTGCCATGGGCTACCGTGTGTAGCCAGCAGCCAGCGTGAGTGGCCAGCAGCCACTGTGAGTGGCCGTCCAGAAGCCGGCGACTGATCTGCCTCGCCCGGGAAGAGCGCAATGATGGTGCCAACTTGGGCCAGTGAAGCAACGTCCTCCACAACTAGACTGAAGAACAAAAGGACAGCAACTTGTCTGTTCCCCTTCCCCCAATTCCTCAGCACTGTTCCCATCCTCCCAATTCCCCAATAAAAATCTTAAAAAAAAAAATTAAAAAAACCAAAAAAAACATATACATGAATGTGTATAGGTTGCATTCATAACATACCTAAACTGAAAACAACCCAAATGTCCTTCAGTGGGTAGATGACCAAACAAACCATGTTATAGCTATACCATGAAATACTATTCAGCAATAAAAGGGAACAAACTATAAATATGTGCAAAGCTTGGATGAATCCCAAGGGAATTATGCAGCGTTTTAAACATCAGTCTTAAAATCTTTCATACTATATTATCCCATTTATTAAAAATTCTTGAAATGCCAAAACTGTAGAGATTGAGATCAAATTAGTAGTTGCCAGGAGTTAGGGACAGGAAGAATGAGAGAGTTGTCTGTAGCTATAAAGGAAGAGGACAAGGGATCCTTGTGATGGAAGGTTCTGTATCCCGGCTGTGTTGCTGGTTCCATGAATCTACACACATCATAAAGGTACACGCACACACAACTAAGTACATGCAAAACTTGTGAAACCTGAATATGAATAAGGTCTGTGAATTGTATCAATGTCAATCTCTAAGTTGTGATAATGCACCATAGATATGTGAGATGCTACTGCTGGGGAGAGTGGGTGAAGGCCATGAGTAACCTCTCTGTATCATGGCTTACAACTGCATGTGAATTTCCAGTTACCTCAAAAATAAAAAATACATAAAAAACAGTAATGCCTGCTTCTAGTATATAAAATATTCAGAGAACATACAACTACAAATGGTTAAATTATTGAACTATTAACTCAGCCTTGATATTTCTTAATGCCTGTCCCCATTTTGCTTGAGGGTATCATGTCTATGTATAGTTGTATTTTTTTTATCATCATCAATATGTTCTTGGAAACTGAAATTTTAAGAGAAATGTATTGAAAAATCAATTTCATCATAGGCTAACTGATATAAACAAGAGTTAAGTTCCTACGGCATATTTCTGGTCACAAAAACATCACCAAACTTCTAAATAAAGCCCCAAAACACTTCTAATATTAAACATTGAAATAAATGTTAGTTGTACATGCATTTAAGAGAGGTTAATAAAAACAGGTAAGGTAGTGATTTTCCAACCCACTTATTCCAGTTCAGGGTCCCGGGTGGCCAAAGAGTCTCCCCACAGCTCAGGGTGCAAAGCAAGACCCAACCCTGGAAAGGCTGCCTTTCCATCGCAGTGCACACTCACACTCACACGCTCACTCAGGCTGGGAAAATGCAGACCCACCAGTTCACCTCACATGCTCATCTTTGGGACATGGGAGCACCCAGAGAAAACCCACTCAGACATGGGGAGAACGTGTCAACTCCACACAGACAGTGGCCCTGGCTGGGAATTATTTTTGTTCTCATTAACATTGTAATGAAACGAAGTGAACCAAAGGACATCATTTAAGAACCCACTGCATACTTTTCAAAATTTTCATATGGTCTCCCCCATGTTAGTTTATAATTCCCTTGTTCTTAACAGCTGCAGAGTATCTCAGTTTATGGTTAATGGGTGATAATAGGTTGATTTGTTTTTTTGGTCATTTATGTTGTTCTCATATTTTCTTTACTAAACATGTTGCAATACACAAAGAGAAATACAAGGAGACTGTCTTATCTCTGTTAAACAACTTAGAATTAAAATGACAGGTTCGAATCATATGCACTTTAAGCATGTTAGCAGCAGTAGCATAGTTTTAATATCTCTGAATCTGCCACAAAACCCAGCAGAGCAAGCAGGATAACAAGGCAGCATCTAGGACAAGACAGTGTGATGAGTTATCCCCCATGAACCCCACATCCAGCAAGTGAAGCCAAACCACAAAGACCCAAGGGAATCATCGACTGAACTGGAGGAAGTGAGGAAAGGCCACAGGAAAAGCTCTGAGGGCTGTGGAACTTGAAAACCCAGGTGCTCACAAGTACCTAGCCCCCAGTGCAGGGAGTCCTGCTTGGCACAGAGAGCTCAGTGGGCCAACCTGAGAGCAGCAGCTCCGGCCAGGAGAGACTTCCTAAGTCCCAACTCCTAAGGGAGAGGAGGATAGCAAAAGCAGATGGAGTAGTGGTCTGTGCTCCATGGACTCACCAAATTAACCACTTTCAGGACAAAGCCCTGTCCTGAGGAGAAACTTCAGGAAGTCAATTATAAGTTGAGTTGGACAAGGACACCAAGACCCGAGAAAAGAGAAGGTCCAGATGAAACATGCGGGAAGGGGAGGAGAGGGCAGACCTCAGCAAGTTCAAGCACAGAAAATTTCTTTACCTTCCCGTTCCAGAAATACCAGACGCCGTGAATGTGAAATAGGAAGTCTCAGTTCAATACACAGTCTTCTCACCCTTGTTACTAATCCAATCATTCTGCCTTCTTCTCAGACCTGTCACACGACAGACAGGCTGTTGCTCAAAGAATAGGATCTAAAATTTTCTTGGGAAAATAGGTGTTAAAAGAGCTGTCTCAAACGCCTACCTCTGGGTCGACATTGATTTGCAGCATCACCAGTGCCTGATTCCACTCAGCTTTTTATTGGGGGCTCTGCTGCCCTCCTCCAGTGTAAAGCTATTATTAACTCCACCTGTTCATACTCCACCATCCTGTCCTGCTGTCTTAGAGCCAATGCTTGGTGTCCCAGTCCAGGATAAACACGTTCCTTCTTCATCCCCTCTCATTTGCTCTCTCTCACCCTTCTATTCCATTGGCATATACATTTCTTATTGGTTTTTCTCAAGTAGAATGTAATTGTCAGGTGCACTGATAATGTAGAAGTGATAGAATTAAGAAAAATGGGAGAAAAGGAGGGAGAGAAGGCGTTCTGTAGAGTAAGCTTACTGACTGCCTCATCTCTCATGCCTGGGAGTCGAAGATTTTGCTTGTAGAAGTGTAGGCATATTTATTACTGCCAAAGGGAACACTTAATGCTAATATTATATCAAATTGGAGGATGAAGGAGAACATGGGTGAAGAAGAAAGAGAATACAAGCTAACATTTTATTTGGGAGACAATGACTACTGTCTAAAGAAAGAAAAGACTTCAGGAAACTACGTCAGGTAGCCACCAAAAAAACAAAAATCCAACTTTCCTAAATATGTTAACACGAAAACAAAAGCAACAAATACAAACAAGATCGTGAAAGGCAAATATGTGCATGTCACTCATATAAAATACTACAACCAAAATAAAACCTAACAAAATTCTCATATTAATACAAGTGAATGCACTGAACTCTCTTATTAAAAGAAAAATAGATATTGCCCAATTAAATCACAACATTCAATTCTGTGCTGAATGTAAGATACATAATATTTTAGAAAGGTGAAAAATAAAAGGGTGGGCAATAAATACACTAAAAGGATGTCTTCTTATGCGTATGGAGTAAACAGAGCAATGGATAAGCACATGACACATTTTCCTATGTTTTTACTTACACAGCTGGAAGTGTTTACACCACTAGTGTGAGTTTATTTGAACACGTCAAGAAGACAATTTTATATAATTAGAAATAGAAATGGTAATAGTGAGTGAAAGGAGAAAGTATTAGCATCTGCACTGAGGGCTGAGAGGAAAGAGCCAATGTTCGGTACTTAGTGGTGATATTAGCATAAAGCAAGCAAGCTGTTTCCAATAAAAATGCTCTTGCCCTTCTACTGAAATCATGTGTGATCCTGGGAAAGTCGTGTTGGCGTCTCACCAATCTGTCATCAGCTGTGCTATTGCTGTAACCACATTATAGAGCATCAGGCTTAGGTTTAGCTGTTGTATCCTTAATGGTCATATTTTGTTCTTTAGAGATGCTGTGATACTGCAATTATATTTTGGACAATTTGTCTGGTTCCAGATTATGGGTGAGGCATACATCTTGATCCATATGGGATGACCCTTTGGTTCAGGTCCAGGGGCTGGGTTAATTTGCAGTTCCTGCAGCATTCTGGTCAGGTAGAGAAACAGGTTCCTTTTTATTTCCCTGGGCTGTAAGCTGGGTTAGGTTTACAGAGAGAAAACCTGAAAAAGTTATGATTTTTTTTAGATCTAACTTACTTTGTGGCTCTTTTACAAAAATAGAATTACTACTGCACAGCTGTATTAAATACAATGATTTTACAATGATTTTTCCCCCTCTTTCCCCTAAGGAGAGGAGACCCACAGATACATGAGGAGCTTTCTTCATCTAGTAATGTTTTAAGGGCCACAGGTTCTCCTAGTAATGTTTAGGGCACCTCCCCAAGTTGTTGATTAGGGTGGGTAAATGTAAGATGGAATCGGGCTTATGAGACCAGATGATAGCATTATGTTACTTGAGAAACACAACATACTGTATACCTACAGGAACTGTTCTCAGTATCAGTGTTTCAAGCATTGTAAGGCTGACTCTACACCAAGACAATAATTATGCAATTTTTATAAAATTTGGAACAAAAATAGCTAAAATGTGTGTGTGTGTTGCTTTAATTTTTTTTATTTGTTATACTAATTTACTTATTAGGCATTAAATAGAAACAACAGAATATAATGAAATGGTGGGCCGGCCGAGTGGCTCGTTGGTTAAGGGTTGGCTTGGGAACACCAGCTCTGAGCAGCAGGGCCACCAGTTCGGATACTACATGAGGGCCAGTGACACTGCCCTCTACAGCGAAGATGGTGAACAACAGCTCAACCTGGAGCTGGGCTGCCATGGGTCGCCGGTGATGGTGTGGGCTGCAGTCCCCTGCTGCAGTGGGTTGCCATAGGCTACCGTGTGTAGCCGGCAACCAGCGTGAGCGGCCAGCAGCTGCAGTGAGCGGCTGTCCAGAAGCCAGCGACTGATCTGCCTTGCCTGGGAAGAGCGCAATGATGGTGCCAGCTTGGGCCAGTGAAGCAACATCCTCCACAACTAGACTGAAGAACAAAAGGATAGCAATTTGTCTGTTCCCCTTCCCCCGATTCCCCCCCAAAAAAAAAATCTAAAAAAAAAGTTACTAAAAAAATGAATAGGGATGCAGAACTAAGGGTAATAAGAGGACTCTCTGAAATAGACTAGTTTAGAAATCAGAACCCAGTTGTTTGACCAATTGTAAACTATGAAAATAGTCCCTATAAATGACTCTGACTGGACTCTGATGTCTACTTGCAATTCTGATCTTTTCACATTTCCCTTTAATTCAGCAGTGCTGGTAAAGAAAAGCAAGTCAATTCCTTAGAATTGTCAAAATAAAGTCTGTAGCTGATTATTTGTATTTTAGTTTAAAATAAATCTACTTTTTTGTATTTAAAAAAATAGAGAAATATTTACTTAAATTTTTAGCCTCTATTTTCCTGTCAGGAATATGGACTATAATGTTTACAGGATATACCAGTTACTATTGTGAAAACATATATACACATTTAAAAATAAATGTCAATTCAGAGTTTGTGTAGCACTAGGCAGAAGTTAATTCAATCCTCAAGAAAAAAGAAAAGGCCCAACTTCTTTCATCATTTCTTTTCTAGTGAATCTAGATTGCTTCAATTTGTGTTTTGTTTATTATTTATTTTAAAGAAAAGAACTGGGCTTCCATGATTCTCTCTCTGAAGTCATTTTATAGAACCTTTCAAGCCATCTTCCTCTCATATTTATTGGCTAAAATAGATTTATGGGCTAAATCTCCCACTCCTGCATTCATTAACAAGTTATTGAAAAGAGGAATGGGGACAATTCTGATTGATTCAGAACAATTAGGACCAGGACCCTAATTTCATATCCACATCCAAGAAATTGATATTTGCACAAATTTGTATTTTGTTAGGGAGTAAGAACTGGGTGTGGAAAGAGTTGTGAACCATCTAGTCAGAATGTTTACTGTGAAGCCTCAGGACTCTTCTTGTGCCTCAGTTTTTCATATTTTATAGAATAGTTTTTCCTGCTTTAGTAAGTATCGCTGAGAGAAAAAAGTATAGATAACATGGATATCACTACCCTCGCATAACTCTTCAGAAGCTCTCACCAACCCAGGCCCAGAAATGACCTGTTGCTAATTCTTCCTCAGAAACATGGACTCCGGCACCTTGCATGTCTTCCAGAGGGAATTCACCTGCTCCATCTGCATGAACTACTTCATAGATTCCATCACCATAGACTGTGGGCAAAGCTTTTGCAGGCCCTGTTTCTACCTCAGCTGGCAGGACACCTCCGTTCTTGTTCACTGTTCTGAATGCAAGGGAACAACACTGCAGAGAGACTTTAAAACAAATATTTGTGTGAAGAAACTGGTTTCCCTTTCTAGAAAAGGCAGTCTCCAGCAATTCCTGAGCTCTGAGGAACATATGTGTGGTTTACACAAGGAGGCAAAGCAGGTCTTCTGTGAAGTCGACAGAAGCCTGCTCTGCATGCTCTGCTCTAGCTCCCAGGAGCACGAGGCTCACAGACACTGCTCCATTGAAGAGGCTGCTGAGGAATCCCAGGTAAGTGATATTCCTGAAGACCCACTCTTTAAAGGATGTATGAAATTGCTGTGGATCTGTTTCCTTGGAGATTGGTACTCCCTCCAGGTGTCTCTTTCAGAATCTCTGTCCTGGGCTTTGGCCTGAAGCCTCCCAGATGTGACAAATATATGATGTAAATAAGGCAACCTTAAGACCTCATCATTTTCAGTAGAACTGATTTATCTCTTGTTCTGGGCCCCCTCCCTATATTACGTCTAAATTTTACATTTTCCTCTTCACTGGCACTCTGACTCATGGTTCTTTCGCAGGAGAAGCTCCTGAGGAAAATGTGCTTTTTATGGGATAAGTCTTGTGAAAATGATAGAAACCCAAATGTGGAAACTATCACAACCAGATCTTGGGAGGTTAGTATTGCACCTTTTCAACCTTAAGCATGAACTTTCAGTGGACATATGAGTGACTTTTAAAATAGGAACTCAATCTGAAATGTAATGTTTTTTGGGATTCAATAGGAAAGGTGTGATCACCAGGGAAAGGGTGTTTACCCTATATATGATAGTAGGGTTCTTAGTCAGGATTTCTAACTGCACTGCAGATAGCACCCAAAGCATGTTGGTTTATTCCCAGGGTAAAAAATACTTATTCTACACCAACAACCACAAGAAACTGGGCCATTTCACAGAGGAACATTGTGGTGGGATGGGTAACTACTGGCCATAGGAGACATTTGGCAGCCACTGAAAATTCAGGTGAAGCATCTGAGGCAGTGTAAGTATTCAGGTGAATGCTGATAGACAAGTAATATTGAAAGACAGATGAAAACTTTCAGAAAGAGAGAGCAGTGTCTCAAATCTAGGGAAACCCTGAAATTAAGTAACCCAAGTAATTAATTCTGAATAACATATAATATATGATGAAAAAAGTGATGAGGCTTTGTGACTTAAGGCATACATATAAACATGCCAAATAAAAATAGTATCTAAATAGAAGGAGATGCTTAAGTACTTTAGGGGAATTTAAAAAGTGGTTTTCTCATTCTGGATTGTTATCTTGAAGGTGTGCTATCTACCATGAATTCACTCAACAAATATTTCATGACCACCTAGTCTGTCAAAATATTGACCTGGAAAATGGAGCAGGAAACAAGATAGAAGGTATCCTTGCCCTAATAAAGCTTACAGTCTAAATCAGAGGGGCAAACGGTCAACATGTAAATAAGTAAAATTTGTGATGTGTTAGAACGTGTTAAGCTCTTTGGAGAATAACAAAGCAGTAAGGAACAAAAGAGTACAGGAGCTTAGGGACTGGAGATGAGGGTTTGAGTTTTAAACAGGGTGGATAATCGGAGAAAGCTGCACTGAAAAACTCACATTGCAAAAAAGACCTGAAGAGGAAGGCAACCATAAGGGTATGTATAGGAGGAGAACTCTAGGTGGAAAAAGCGGCACGTATTGCAGGTGGGTATATTTGGGGCAGTTAAGAAGCCACAAAGATCTCTGTGTGTGTGATGGGGGAGAGATCAGAGTGAGTAAGAAGAATAAAAGAAAATAAGGTCAAAAAGATAATGAGTTCAAATCATAAATGAAACCTTATTAGATCAGGATTTAGCTGGATGAAATGCAAGGGAATGAGGATGTCAGCCTTAGGTCATGGCATACGAGGTCAGACAATTAAGTTTGCAAACTGTAACAATGTTGCTAACTTTTTTTGATATCAAAGGGATTATTCATTATGAATTTGTACCAACTGGACAAACAGTTAACCAAGTTTACTGTTTGAAAGTGCTGTAAAGGCTGCATGAAAAAGTTAGACAACCTGAATGTTTCGCCAATAATTCATGGCTCTTGCATCACAACAATGTACCAGCTCACACAAAACTGACTGTGAGGGAGCTTTTAGCCAGTAAATAAGTAACTGTATTGGAACACCCTCCCTACTCACCTGATCTGGCCCCCAATGACTTCTTTCTTTTCCAGAAGATAAAGGAAATATTGAAAGGAAGACATTTTGATGACATTCAGGACATCAAGGGTAAGGCAACAACAGCTCTGATGACCATTCCAGAAAAAGAGTCCCAAAATTGCTTTGAAGGGTGGACTAGATGCTGGCATCGGTGCATAGCTTCCCAAGGGGAGTACTTTGAAGGTGACCATAGTGATATTCAGCAATGAGGTATGTAGCTCTTTTTCTAGGATGAGTTCACAAACTTAATTGTCCAACCTTGTATATGGATTTTCATTCAGTATCCAGAGAAGTGCTTGAATAAACGACAAATCTTCATATCCCTTCCAAAATGATGATGTGATTATTTAGAAACAAGAAAGGTTCTGATTCTGATTTTTGATAAGTGAAGAGAGTTTAGGGTTGGCCATTTTGCTAAGAAAAGTAAACTCATAGAAATGACCTTAGATTTGACGCTAAGCATTTGAATTTCAAAGAATGTTCAATGTCTCTGGTTAAGGATTTGTTTGTTCCGCAGACATACTGGTCACCTCTGCACTCAATTAGAGATGAGAAACAAAATTGTCCTTGTTGTTGTAACCTCATGGTTCCCAGTGAAGTAACTTTTTGAAAGAACACTTTTTCCTCAGAACTTTAAATCCCCTTATTGACATATGTGCCTACATGTTGTTTGTTTTTGTTTTTGTTTTTCAGTGAATATTACTTTGCATCATGAAAGAACTAATAGGCATGTCTTCCTGTACGCAACTGTTCTCAACCTGTGGGTCACGACCCCTTTGGAGGTCGAAGGACCCTTTCTCAGGGGTTGCCTAAGACCATCGGAAAACAAAAAGATACTTACATTATGATTCATAACAGTAGCAAAATTACAGTTATAGAGTAGCAACAAAAATAATTGTATGGTTGGGGGTCACCACAACATGAGGAACTGTATTAAGGGGTCGCGGCATTAGGAAGGTTGCGAATATCTGGATTAAGGAGTTGGGAGAAAGCAAAGTGGGGAAATCTTTGGGATTGGATAAAAGTACATTGGGAGAGACAGATACTCCTCCCACCCAGGTGGGTGCAGGATAGCTAGCAGTTGTTCTTTACAGCACATAGAGATGTTAATCAGGAGATAAGCATAATAATGAGGAATTTTGCATTTTTCAGCTTTTGTCTGGAAAAAGGATTAAAGATATTATTTTAGGTACCAAAAGACAACAGGACCACTGAAAAGGCACAGATTAATGAGAAAGCTGAAGATGTGACTTCCCACCATAGCCCACTTAGTTAGGAATTTTTATGCTCATATCATCCTCTGTGGTTATTTTCAGTCTCCTGAGCTTTTCAGGTTTAACATGTGGCCCCTTTTCTGTCCACACCAATATAGCTCTGTAATAACTGGAGATATTTTGTTCTTCAGGCTTTTATGTTTCTCAATTTATAATGAACATAACCATTTGTGCTTGTATAAAAACATTGAATAAACAGTAAAACACTAAAAGGTCTCAATTTTCTCACTCACTGGTGGTGTCTAATTCGTTTTTTGGTCAACTGTTTATGTCAAAGTAATAATCTATGGTATTTTCATTAGATTTCAAAAAGAGGTAATTTTACTGTGCAAAAATTAAATAATAAAAGTAATGATTGAATCTGTGCCGATCAGTATCATTTTTTAACTGAAAGTTGATGTTTATACTATCTGTAAACACCAGACTTAGCAGTCAAAGCTCTCCCTAGTGACAGACAGCTTTTCAGTAACTTGAGACCTCTTTTAGTAATCTTGCAGGTCTCTGGCTAGGGCATGAAACCCTGATCTAACAATCAGCAGCCGATGACAACGCTGAGGAAATGGGGCTACAGACCCAGGTTGATTCCTGCTGAATTTGTTATGGTTCATTTGCAGCCAGGAACCAGAGCCCAAACCAACCCCCCAAGGACAGGAATTGGAGGTACCCAGTTGTTTGCTCCTGGTTCCTCCTTCTTGCAGCACCCAGCAAAGGAACCTGAGCTTCAATGTACAATAAAGCTGCTCTGTGTAGGGAGTAGGGGGTACACTGAGAACAATCTGACTGATATTTCACCACCCCCTGAGACTCCTACCATCCCATTCCCCCTCCACCTTCCCCTAACCACCACCAGGGGCTTTGGTCTTTTTTATTTTTTAATTGCAGTTGACATACAATATTATATTAGTTTCAGGTGTACACCATAGTGATTAAACATTTATATGACTTAAAAGTGATCACCCTGATAAATTTAGTACCCATTTGACACCATACATAATTATTACAATACCATTGGCTATATTCCCTATGCTGTACTTTACTTCTGCATGATGATTTTGTAACTACCAATTGTACTTCTTATTTGGCCCTTTTTTGAAACCTGCTGCCAGCGTTTCCTATGCCACCCAGGGATCCGTCCTCCACTATTGCTAGCGTGGCTGTGTTGTCCTGCCTGCTGAGCTTTTCTGGTCACTCTAATAACACCCTCCATAGTCTGTATTTTAGAAGGACACTGTTTCCAAATTTGAGGTTGGAGCATATACAAGGCAGATGCCTCACAGGTGGTACTGCCCTGACTCCTGGTCTTGGGGAGCTGCAGGAGCCTTCTACCCCCACCCCCTTTCCTGGGTCTGAGCAGTGTCTATCCCACCACACGTCTCATTCACTGGATGGTTTAGGAAGCCTGCTCAGAGTCCCCCAGCCAGCCAGCCAGAGCAGGACCATCCCAATCTGTACCTGTATCAGGATAGTCCAGTGGTAACTTCAAAGTCTCATATCCACAATTCCTTTAACCGAGCAACATCATGTCTAACAATCTTTCCAATAGAATTTCTCACAAACGAGGATATATACAAAAGGATGGATGTATTTTGTAGCATTTTAAGTAGCTGAATAAATAAATAAATAAATGGGAAATAACTTACGTTCTGAAATATGTGGTAACATTTAATAAAGTCTACTACATATTATTAACCCAATATGTGACAATATTCTGTAATCACTGGTCTATTACATATTTTGCATGTTTTTAACAAATGGATTTCATTAATATTCTAAAACAAAGGCTTCCGCATGATAAAAATTACTGCAAGACAATTCACAGTACTGACTGATATCAATTAAAAATAAAATTCACTGATGTCAGTCAAGTTCACAGTAAGTGATCGTAGAGGCTAAAATGTCAATTTCTACCAATATAATCATAAATGTTTACTATAATAATCAACCCTTTGGGCTAGAGAAGGTATAGCGAGGGTATTCACTCTGTAGATGGTCCTGCATGGTAAATCTAGAATGGAATAAGGTGTTGTTTTTTTTTTACCATTTTTTTAAAAAGGTTTTATTGGGGAATTGGGGGAGGGAACAGCACTGGGGAATCAGGGAAGAGGAACAGACAAGTTGCTGTCCTTCTGTTCTTCAGTTTAGTTGTGGAGGACATCGCTTCACTGGCCCATGTTGGTATTGTGATCTTTGTGCTCTTCCCAGCTGAGGCAGATTGGTCATTGGCCGTTGGACAGCTGCTCACGGTGGCTCACGCTGGCTGCCAGCCACTCACAGTAGCTCACGGCAGTCCCACTGCAGCCCCATTGCAGCCTATGCCATCGCTGGCGACTCACAGCAGCCCAGATCCAGGTGGAGCTGTTGTTCACCATCTTAGCTGTAGAGGGTGCAGCATTACTGGCCCATGTGAGATCCGAACCAGTGTCCCTGCTGCTCAGAGCTCACGCTCCCAAGCCAAGTCTTAACCAGCGAGCCACTTGGCTGGCCCCACATGATGGTTTTTTGACTGCCAATGTGGCTGGGCAGAACTACCAGGACTGATATGAGGTGGCAGCCATTTTGTAGCATACATACACCTTCTCCCACTTATTCAATGTACTTTAAGTGCTACTATGAAGGGATTTTGCAGATGTAAGTGAAGTTCCTTACCTTTATTTTAAACTATAGAACTCAAACTAGCTTATCTTCATAGCTGTTGCCTGAGGGGTAGGCTTCTAATTAAACAAACACATAAGAGGGGTCCTCTATAATCCTCTCCAGGGACTCCAGGGTGGGGGAGTGTTAGGCAATGTAAAGCTCCATCGAATATGTCCCTGAAAAAAAATATTCACACAGGTTCTGGGCCCCAGTTTTGTGACAGCCACCATTTTGTAAAATACAGAATACCAAAGTCATAAAATGAAATCACTTTAACGTCATTACTCCTAGAAATGTTTTATGAATATTTGGGAAAAAGACATATTATTGTATTAATTATCCTGTGGTTCCATACTTGACTGAGAAAAAGATGGTGCTAGAAAAATTGGTTAAGAATTGGAAAATGAAGTTCTTGGAGTACTTTTCACAATACATGGGCCAAATGAGCATGGTAGTGCTTTTGGAATTCAAGATCCTTTTCAAAGAACATGATTGTAAACACAAGCATCATCCAGTTGAAATAGATATTCAGTGTACATATATTTTGAAAGCTATAAAGGCCAGGTCATGATTCCCATTCTTTCCAAAGCCTCTGAGTTCCCAAGCTGAGTGTTTGGTGGGAAAGGGAAAGGGAAGTATCCCGATTTAAGTATCAAGTTGTGACAGAGTGGGGATATGAGTTACTCTTTAAAAAAATGTTTTTTTCTAATCTTTTATTGTTGTATCTGTATTGTTTCAATGACAGTTATAAATTGACTTGGGGAGTGGGGGTCTCTGAGCTAGAGCCATTCTCTACTGTCCCCCCAGAGATGGGTTGGGGAGCTCCGGGCAAAGAATATCCTGGCCTGCTGTTGCTGGAATGTTTTGGGGGCCTTGATCTAGACTGTGAAGGGCAGGAGGAATCTCTGTTCAAGAGTGATGTCTTAAGTATTCTTACATTAAAACACAAAAATATACCAATAAATAAAATAAAGCGCTTCCTACATGACAGAGCATAATTAAACTAACTACAGCTTAAATATTTCCATGTGTTCAGACATTTTTTAAAATTGCCAACTGGTGAAATAATTCTTTGTACTTTTCTGTAAGTTAAAATAAAAGTTCTTGATTTTGAAAAATTTAGATATAAAGGGGGCATGTGAGGGGTTAGTCACTAACCCTTGATTGGATTATGTTTGTGGAGGTTTATTTAGCATGATTAGCAAAATTGTCACGTTAATCCTTTCTTCTGTTTGAAGAAACCTAATCATCCATTATTAACACGTATCTGAAGACCTCTGAAATGTAATCACTTGGGAGAAATGGGTGTGGTCTTTAGAGACTAAATATAAGGAGATTCAGGGAGCCAAACTCATTCTTCTCCAGAACACTGTGTTTGGAACTCACCTGGCTGGGGAGAATTTTGAAAGTTACCTCTGCCGCCCTTGGAAGGCTTGATCCCTGAGCTGATTTCTTTGTGTTATTACTTCTACAGCAAGCATTGGAGAGACCATGGATATGCTCCCTAGGTGAGTACACAATTGAACAAAAAGGAGCTCCTGTAACTTTCCTAAAGGAAAACAAAAACATTTCCTAATTTTTTTAATTCTATTTTTTTTAAAGATTTTATTTTTATTTTTATTGGGGAGTTGAGGGGTTGGGAACAGTGCTGGGGAATTGGTGGAAGGAGAACAGACAAGTTGCTGTCTTTTTGTTCTTCAGTCTAGTTGTGGAGGACGTTGCTTCACTGGCCCAAGTTGGCACCATCATTGTGCTCTTCCCGGGCGAGGCAGATCAGTTGCCGGCTTCTGTATGGCCATGCACGGTGGCTGCTGGCCACTCACGCTGGCTGCTGGCTACGCACAGTAGCCCATGGCAACCCACTGCAGCAGGGGCTGCAGCCTACGCCGTCGCAGGCAACTCAAGGCAGCCCAGCTCCAGGTTGAGCTGTTGTTCAGCATCTTAGCTGTGGAGGGCAGTGTCACTGGTCCTCATATGTGAGATCCGAACTGGGGCCCTCTGGCGTCCCAAGCCAGTTCTCAACCAACGCGCCACTCGGCCGGCCCAACATTTCCTAATTTTAATTTATCCGCAAACTGAGGTTGTTTTGTGAAATGACATTGTTTGCCAAATTAGTAAAAATGGTTTCATCCCTGTTTTGTTTTGGCATCTAGTGTGTATGTGTGTTGGAATTAATATCATGATTAATTTTAGTTTTCTTATGCACTCCTTAGCGGTCCCTATGTATTATAAGGACTCAGAAAGTGGTCAGATGTCTTCTAATTTTGAACTTGGTGTAGACCCTAAAATTTTTTTAGGAATATTTCATGCTATATGTAATACACATTATAGTCTACTCTTAACTCAGTGCATGCCTATATACACAGGACAGATGACATTCCTAATATATAACTAGATAAGCATTCAGTGATTTGGGAAATTATTGTTTGAAAAGGAAGTAAATGTTGTTTCTTAAAAGAACATTAGGTTTTTTAACTTAAATTTTAAAGAAGCTATGAAATGATTGGGCAGCTAGAAAAGAGACACTTGTGGCCATACAGAAATATTGTAAATTTGAGGAACATCTGTATTTAGCTTGTGTAGAAAAAATAACCTTTATTTTTTAGCAAAATAAATTTTAAAACCCATAATGTTTTTTCTGTACTGATTAGGCACATTACATCTTATGAAAATGTGGAAGGGTTCCTGATAATCATTTTAAAGAACTGGAAGAGATAGCCACTTTCTTTAATTTTGGTTTCAATGATTAGAGTGGTATAGATAATAAAGAGAGGAGGGCAAATTCAACACATTGGTAAAGTTGTGTACACAGATTCTGTTTAAAATTTGAAACAATTTGAGAATGTTTAGTTTCCTCTTTATTAACTCTTCATGTATTCATACAGTGTTTTGTAAAAAAGATGTTTTGGAATGTAGATTCTGATTGAGGTGAAAAATAACATTAAAAAATGCCTGACAATTACATGAAATTAAGAAAATAAAAGCTTAGTCAAATATCCTATGTTACATCAATGATTGACATTGAGCATTATGATTAACTTTTAGAACTTTCAAGACCCATCACATGGAACTATACGTTGGGTCAAACTCCTGAAACTCAATCTATTTGGAGAAATTAAGATCCCAACAAAAGTGGGGTTCTTATTTATGCTGGAGACAACAGGGCAAGAAGTGGATAGTGTTGGTTCTAAAGCCAAGAAAGTTCTCTACAGAGATTGAGAGCTCTTCTAGGTCTTGTTTTTTTATTAATGTCATGGGCAATATCAAGCTTGTTCTACTCCAGATACAATGTTATTGAGTCACAAGTGAGTCAAATTTTGCTTAGTATATCCAGGGCAGAGGAATAAACTCCTGATTTTCTTTCCTCAGAAAAGTGGACTCTAACATCTTACAAGCCTTTCATGAAGAACTCACCTGTCTTATCTGCATGAATTACCTGATAGACCCAGTCACCATGGGGTGTGGGCACAGCTTCTGTTTGTCGTGTCTCTGTGTTTCCTGGGAGAAAGCAGAGAGCACTAATTGCCCTCTGTGCAGGGAACCAGCACAGCAGACAAACTTCAAAACCAATATTCTCCTGAAAAATCTGGTGTCCATTGCCAGAAAAGCCAGTCTCCGGGAATTCCTGAGCTCTGAGGAATATATGTGTGGTTTACACAAGGAGGCAAAGCAGGTCTTCTGTGAAGTCGACAGTAGCCTGCTCTGCATGCTCTGCTCTAGCTCTCAGGAGCACGAGGCTCACAGACACTGCTCCATTGAAGAGGCTGCTGAGGAATCCCGGGTAAGTGATACCTCTGAGAGCACTTTGAAAGCTGGGGAAGAGTACAGCAAAGGGATGATAAGGATATGAGGATCATGATGATTAAATCCTCTTTACCTAATGCCAGTTACAATGATCAAGCTGTGAAGAAAATCAGATTTTCCATGATGTGCATGTTTACTAACACTGGACAAAGAAGTAGGGTAAAATACATTGGAATTAGAATATATAAGCATTAGTAGCTCAAAAGTCTATGCAAGGTGTTGCAGTATCTAGAAAAGTAAAATCAGAATTTTGCTGAATATCCCTAACCAAATGAGTATATTTGTGGTTCTAAAGTCTTAATCTCCAACAATTGATTATAAGCGAGGGCCAATAGGTTCACGTGATGACCCTTCCTACTCTCCCTATAGGATTTTTATGTAGAATCCATCAGTTGGGGTCTGAAACCTAAATCTATTTGCTTCTCTGAAACTAAAATGTAGTTATTTTCCAGGAGAAGCTGTCAAACCAAATGGCATCATTATGGGAGAAGATCCAAGAAATCCAAAGAAATCTCAATAAAGATGGCAGGATATCTGACCATTGGATGGTAAGTATGAGACTGCATTTCCTTCTGAATCAGGTTGACACTGACATGCTAGAAACTTATTCCTTAATAATTTGAGCTGAAAGCATCATGTTATAAAGTTTTGTGAGAGGGTTAAACAAGAAACTTTTCTGTTTTCAACTTATGGTAGAATGACTCTTAGGATTTTTAGACTCTGATGTATCAGTCACTTTGAAAAAGAACCATCAGAAATATGTACCTGTCTCAGAAGGAGGCACATAGAGTGCTTTGGATAATTCAATAACCACTATTCAGAGTCTCAGGCAAAATTTCTTAGTTGTAAAACCAATCCCAGTACTGAAGGACAAGTAAATGTTAAAAATACACGGTATTTCAGGCCGACATTTCTGTATGTCATACATTCTAGAAACTACAGAGCATGTCACTGAGAACTGCAGGTATTTCAGCCTGACTAAGACAGTGAGCCCAGGGGGATAAAAAGGAACTGTGACCAGTAATTTAAGATCTATTCCTATGATGGTGAGAACTGATATTGCAGGAGCTAGAGAATGATATTGGTTCAAGAAAGAAAAATGTAACATGTTAAAAAAGAAAATGAGAAAACTGAGTAAAGGAAAGGATTGGGATTGGAGAGTAGGACAGTGAGCCTATAACTATTGGGAGGGAATGTGCAATGGAATGAGGATTAAAATCCTTCAAAACAAGGAGCCTGTGGCCTTAGATGGAGAATGGAAGCCCATTCCATACAGAAACGGGGGTAGAAAAGGACTGGGAGGATGGACATCAGTTTGAGGGCAGCTGGTGAGAATTTCAGGAAGACTTTTTCTGATGGTTTCTAATTCTGAGAATAAATTGCAACATTGCTGCTAAGAGGGACAGGTCAGGCTGTGGAGTAGGGAGATTGGACACTAGAGAAGAATTCACTAACCCAGATCAGAATATTGCATATAATGTTTGCATGTAGGCTTTCAGACTTGAAAGGATGAGCGTGAAAGAAATTATCAATGAGAAGCTTTACTGCAGTTGTTTTAGGAAATCATGAAGCGGGTGGAAGTGGTTTGAGGGAAGAGTGGTATTGGTTGTTGGTATACTTAACAATGGAATATAGATGAAGGAAAGGAATGAGTTTGTGGTTTCTGATAAGTAGGAGGACCTGAATTTAAAATACATGTAGCTTATTGTTAGACAACATGAGTCAGCAAACTAGATGCTGTTTGAGTGAAGGAGCATAAGTTGGCCTAAGTATGAATCCAGAAAATCATCTCCTTGCAGAGTTACGTGTATCAACATGAACATATCACCAGGGTTGCTTATCAGGCACTGCGTGAGGTTCTCCATCAGGAAGAGAAACAACATTTAAAGAGTCTTGAAGAGGAAGGCCCAGAGATGTTTAAACACCTCGAGGAACGTCGAGACGAAATGATTGAGAAGAAGATAAGCCTAAGAGCAATGTATGAGGAGCTCATGGACATATGCCATAAACCAGATGTAGAGCTGCTCCAGGTAGGAAGTGAGCACATGTCTAGATATATTTTATGTTATCAGAAGCCTACGCCTTAGGCTTCTATTATTTGGTACCAAAGATATATGTCTTCATCTCTTGCGTCTGTGGTGGGGGGAGGGTCTCTCCCAGTTGGAAATAAGCTGCAACTTCTGACCTAGCCATGAACAAGCAAGCTTGATGGAACTGCAATCATGGAGAGTCCCTGGGGAATATTTCTCTACTCAAAATCTCCTTTTGTCGCTTCCTTCACTAAACACTAAAAAGAAACAATCTATTCATAGACATTCAATTTTGGTCCACCATTGGGAAGGAAACGTGGAGACATTTGGTAAAAGCTCCAATATGTTTCTTCCTATTGTTGGATTGTCCTTGGTTTCATTTGTCCTGAATTTGGGGCATATTACCCTTTGGGGACAAGCCTTAGGTTGGACAAAATCTGCAGAGAGCTGAGGGTGGCCGCAATGTAAATTCACAGCCTTGTCCTCTCTGCTCACCCTCAGGGTTCTGTGTTCATCAAGAATTTATTGGGTTGCCGGAAAAGTCATGACATATTTTTCTATGTTTTTTGTTGCAAAAATGTGTCATGACTTTCCCAACAACCCAATAGATTCTGATAATATATTGTGCCAAGATTATCTTTAGGGAGTAAAAGGAAAATGAATTTACAAGACAGCTTGGTTGTAGTAATTATTACTTTTCTGAAGGTTGGCAGAATACAATATTTTTGATGAATTCTAAGCTTCTCTTTTCTTTCTTGACAGGAATTAGGGGACAAACTGACAAGGTGAGTTTCGCCTTCAACACTAACTGGGGCTTGTGAGGGCTGTGAGAGAGATCGAGATACTTCCAACAAAGTGCAGACATAATTCCTCAGGTTGTATCCAATTATTTTTGTGTGCACATGTTGTGCATGTTTTACTGATTATGATCTCCTGTCCGCTTGATCACAAGTTCGCCTTTTTCCTTTCTGTGGTGGAGGAAGGTATGTGTTGTTGGGCTCAATTAGCAGTTTCTAGACCAGTCATTTGATTTTAGATTTCAGAATCAATAAGAACTGGAAGTGCTAAGACTAGGTTGTCCGAGGCATTAGGTGAGAGAGGCAAGTACCTCTGAGAAATGGGGGTGGAAGCAGGCCAAGAAGAAAAGTGAGAGAGCTTCCCTAAGAATGGCACAGTTCTATCACATGATTGGGCAGGAAAGGATGTAGATGAAGAGCGTTCAGTTAAATGTTGAGTACTTTCCTTAAACAATGTGTGGTTGAGAAGCCTTGGGTACTAGAGAGGTTAATTGCATCTTCCTCCTTGTAGGAGTGAGCGGGTGCAGCTGCACATGCCGCAGCCTCTGCAGCCGCAACTCCCTGCACGACCCATCACTGGACTGGTGGACAGGCTCAACCGCTTCCGAGGTGAGTGTCGCCCCGCTGGTGGGAACACCTGGCTGGGCCCTTCCAGAATGACTTTTATGGGGGATCTTTTCCTCTTCTTAATCTTCATCGTGTAGGGGAGAGCAGTCTGCAAAGAGGCATGGTCCTACTTAGTCACAGAGTCACTATAAAGGGAAAAGATAAAGTGAAAGCTGGTGTCACAATATGTGGGACTCAGGCTTTATCAATTACTTATAGATTAGAAAGGTTACTTATAAAATAAAATCTAAAACATGCTTCAGAAAAGACATGCTTCAACCATGGCAGTATTATGACATGAAAGGTCAGTTGCTCAGTGAGCCATAGAAAACTGGATATTCAAAATATTCCATTTTCAACTAAAGGCCGTAAGCTAGATATTTTTCAAAAGTTTTGCTTTAAAGTTTCTGAGTAAAAGAATGTATAATGTATTTTTGAAATGATATAATCAGGAAAAAAGAACAAAAAATTAGTGCAGAAATCAAGAATTGATGAGCAACACTGAAGTAAGTTTGTGGTGGCTGAGGCCATATACACAGTTCCATGGTAAACCTAAACCCGAAGGGTGAGTTTAGCAGAAAGGGGAAATCTAGTCTTCAGGTGGAGCCCGCTATCAAAGGCCGACAACGCTTAGTAGGAAACCACTTGTAAGAAGGCATCTTCAGGTTTTCTTCTTCAGGGTCAATTTGTTTACTTAACTGGAATACTGTCATATCCTGGTAAATATATCCCCATTTATTTGTTCTAAGATGTAATTTTTCCCCCTGAGAAGGGGTGGTGGAGGTAAATTATATTGCTATGGATTTGGAGGCACTGCACAGGTGTCCAGCTTTTCAGGTTTCAAAAAAACCAGCAGCCACATGTAGACATGACCTCCCTCTCCTTTGAGTTTTTAGGAACGTTTTTTTCCCATTGTAATTAATTCTTTCTTTCTTCAAAAGATATGCTGGCAATTCCAATATTTTCCAGTCAGAGCTGTCCTTCTAAACTTGGATTATTTATTTATTTATTTATTTATTTATTTATTTATTTATTTATTTATTTTTAGTGAAACACTAAGGAGAAATGCTTCCCTCATAGGTAATTTTATTTTTAACACTGATTTTGATAGAATATTCTTTTGTCTCCACAGTGGAAATTTCCTTCACTAATGAAATTACCAATCACAATATCAGGCTGTTTGACGATATGAGAAGTCTGAGGTTTATGCGTGACAGTCTATGTGCGTCTTTGGATCCTGGACCATCTAACTATTATGCCTCATGGGGAGACCAGGTCTTCACCTCTGGCAAACATTATTGGGAGCTGCACGTGGACGACTCTTGGGACTGGGCTGTAGGGGTCTGTAAGGAGTCCTGTGTAAGGAAGAATGGCACTCTGATTGGGTCTCAGGACACACTCCTTCTTTTATGTGTGAAGGAGGATAATGGTTACACTCTGTGGACCACTGCCCCAATGACTCGTCAGTTCATAGAGAAACCTCTGGGCAGGGTTGGTGTGTTTCTTGATGCTGACAGGGGAAGTTTGAGTTTTGTGGATGTTGCGAAGCGTTCCCTTATTTGGGCATACCCCCATGGCATATTCAACTTCCCTGTCAGGCCTTTCATTGACACTGGCCACACATGAGAAGGGTTAAGTCAGGAAACTATTATCTGAGGAAGCCCTTCTCAGTTGAAGCAAACCAATAATACTTCATTTCCTTTTAAGCTATTTATACTTTCATGTAACCTCATTGTTTGGTTATTAAATATAAAGTTACTGTGAAATGAAAAGTTTTGTTTGTTTTAGCTTCTTTACATTGAAGTCAATTCTTTTGCACATTATCTAGAGTATATGCTGAGATGCTCACCTCTCTTCTGAGCTTGATGGAGTTATAAACATGAGTGTGGGATTCTAACTTAATGGTCTCAGGCAGGAACCCAGAGTGCCCATCATAGACAGACCTGTCCATGTTAGTTGGAAAAAGCTCTTTTATGGGTGAAAAGATCAAATAGGAGATTTCAGTGGCAGATGTTATGGTTTTATGACATTGTAAAAATTAAGAGGTAGCACATTAATTAGTACCTGGATGGACAGCAAGACCACAGGAACCAAAGAGAAAGCCTCATTTAGACTCTTTTGATGTATGGATACCTGCTTTTTGACTGAACAGTCATGGCAAATGGGTTTAGAAAGACAGACTTCCCAGTTAATATGCTGTGATATTTTCACAAAACTTATTTTCAAGTATATTCAATATAAACGATGAATTTATCATTTTAAAAGATATGACTATGGGAGAATATTTTTTTGTGACTATGCTAAAAAAGGATTTCTTTTTTTTTTATTTAAAGATTTTTATTGGGGAATTGGGGGATGGGAACAGCGCTGGGGAATTGGGGGAAGGGGAACAGACAAGTTGCTGTCCTTTAGTTCTGGAGGATGTCGCTTCACTGGCCCAAGTTGGCAACATCATTGCGCTCTTCCCAGGTGAGGCAGATCAGTTGCCGGCTTCTGGATGACCACTCACGGTGGCTGTTGGCTACACACAGTAGCCCATGGCAACCCACTTCAGCAGTGGCTGCAGCCTACGCTGTCGCCGACGACTCACGGCAACCCAGCTCCAGGTTGAGCTGTTGTTCAGCATCTTAGCTGTAGAGGGCAGTGTCACTGGCCCTCATATGTGGGATCCGAACCAGGGCCCTCTGGCGTTCCAATCCAGCACTTAACCAACGCACCACTTGGCTGGCCCTGAAAGGGATTTCTTAATGAAACAAAACCCACAATTAAGTAAGGGAACTATCGATCAATTTAACTGCAAAAATTTTAAGGATTTCTGTTCTTAAAAGATATCACAATGGAAGTAAAATTCTGAGAGAAAACTACTGTAACACAAAACTAGTAAACGGTAAGTGTCTCAATCATGTAAAGAATGACTTGTATCTATCTGTAAGAATAATACAGCCCTTCTTCCTAAGAAAATAGTCTGAAACAGTTACTTCAAGGGAGGGAAGAGAAATACATGTGCAATAATCTCAACCTCATTTGTAATCAGAAATAAAATTAAAATCACAATCACTACCATGAGATAAGAATTTTAAAATATTAATATATGAAGTTTTGATAATGACATGGAGCAACTTGAAATATTCCAAGCTCTGGAAATGTATGTTGGTACAATTCTGTTGAAAACTAATCTCTAGTAAAACTGAAGTTGTGCACAATACACTCCTGCATGAACAGTCTAGATTAGGGCAGATTTGTGTGCATCGGGTGAAAAAGCGGTCATAACACTATTGAAAGTCACAAAAACAATAACTAAAAGACTCTAGAATGAATCTGAATCGCATCAATGGTGGAATGGATAAATAAATTGAAGCACATTTCTGTGATAGAAGATATAACAGAGTGAAAATGGATTAAGTACAGTTACATGGAACACTGGATAAATCTCAGAAATTCCATGTTAAAAAACAACTCAGTAAAACAGATATTCTGTATTTCAAAATTATACTATATATTGTTGACAGTTACAGACACAGATGGTAAATTAGAAAGTGAAGCAAGCATGTGAAACTACAAGTTGTACGCCGTTGTCCCTCTGCGAGCCAAGGAAACTATGTAAGGAGGGCACACACTGGGCTTTAGAGGTAAGGGTGATATTTCATTTCTTAAAGGAGGAAGGAATACAGATATTTGTTAACTTATTTCCAATTGATACGTATTGTGTTTCTGTATTAAGTACTGGATACAAATCAGGATGCAAATAGGAAGGGGGCTCCTCAGCGACTGAATGGAGGGGAGAATCAGAAACCTGGGGGGACCTCAGATGACGCAGGGTAGTGATCAGCAAGATCCTAGTGCTTCCTGACCCCGTCTTCCTTCAAGGCCTGGCATCCAACCCTTGGACCCAACCAAAGGCGCCCCCTTTCCCAGTTCCTCCAGACTGAAGAAAAGGCTCTCACAGGGCCATAGGAACCCATGCCATCACCACTCTGCATTTTACTGTGGCCACACAATGCTCTTTGTCACTAGGTCTGGCCCAGGGTTGGGAGAGAAAGCAAGAAAACATGGGACTTTCCCCCCACACTTCCCTGTTTGTAGGGGCCTCTTTCCTGATCCTGCGGCTGGAAAGACAGGGTCTCCTAAAGTTTTTCTGTGAGCTCCTGCTGTGTTGTTCAGAGATTGGGGCCTTCCTGGTCCTGGGGTGAAATCCAGGGAAGAAAAGTGCCCTGGAAAACCAATTTTCTGTCACTCAGTACTTTTAGGTTACCATTTTTTACACCGACTGCTTCTTTTTATAGGTGGATGTTCTCTGGACTGTGATATAACATGATTTGAAAATTTGAGGGTCATGAGGTTTGTAAGAGCCAGAAACCGTGTTAAAATTCCTAGGCATTCAGGGACATGTTGTTTGGGGAGATCAGGCCCTTTCCTGAAGCAGGAATTATTGTAAGGAACATCTGTAAAAGTCTTGGGAGAAATATGTAAGAGACACTTTTGTGTGACTTTTATTTTTGAACTTAAATAAAGGGGTAATTTTGTCTCTGAATCTACATGACTTCAATAGTTGGCAGCTGACTCGAATCTATGGATTCAGAACTGCAATTGATACTGAGGAGGAAGGTCAGAAGCTTATGTGACCCAGAGGACAGACTTCCTCAGAATTCCAGAAATGTTAGGGGGGCCACTAGACTTTGTACATAGTCCAGATAGATGGTTTTGAGCCAAACATTTTTATTTATTAAGAGCAGAGTGTCCTCAATTAATATCTGGGCAGTTGAAAGCAAACTTGTGAATTGGCTCCATGCCCTGTCCTGTGTGAGCTGCTGTGGGGCAGAGCGAAGCAAGAGGCAGAGAAAGAGAAAAACTGGAGGGCTCTCAAGATATGCTTCGGCCCTGACACTCATGTCCAGTGTGCTGGGCTGATTTGTAAACATTAAAAAAGAGCTAACAACGGACCTCCAATGTACAAAGAAAAGGCAGAGTCAACATTGTCCCCCCAAATTAGACATAATGACAGGAAAAAAAAATACTTCCAGTAAGGATAAGACAGAAACTCTCCACATAAATTGCCAATATTCCTTTTTCATAACAGTCTCTGTTTCCCACAACATTCCTATTGAACAGGGTTTCAAGAAAAAAACCCTGGGTTTGTAGAAGAGTAGATAATAAAGGATTACGTAAAATGAAAGGTAAGAAAATTGATACTGAAGAAAAATAGTCTGGGGTATTCAGAGGCCAGGAGGCATAACAGACTTTATTATACAATAAATGAATTTTAAGTAGTTCAGAAAGGAAAACGTGCAGTATTTCTGCCTGTGATAAAATAAGACAAGTAAGCACCTAAAATTTCAGGAAAAAAGTTATAAATATTGGCTTTAGAAAGACATTCGCTACAGGACTTTTTTGTCATAATATATTTTCAATTACTCAAGAAATAAATCCAGGCCAGTTTCCTACAAATATCAAGGAAGTGAAGAGAGTTGACTAAACCAGAAATACTAAGGTTTTATTCTATTCATCAATCAATGCAATATTTCCTGATGAAGTGAGGACTTGCTGTGTTCTCTTCATGTGTTCCTCCCACAAGTTACTGCCTTTTCTGCCTTAATTAAGCCTTTATCATGCACCATGGACATAACTTTGCAGTTTGAGGTGCCACTGTAAAACCAGCACTAATTTATTTTCCATCTTCACAATTTCACAAATAGAAGGTTTATCCTTACTGTAGATCTTAGCAACCTCACCATATGACTTTGTTTCTCCCCTTATTAAGTCACACACTTTCACCTTGTCACTTAAAGGAAACACTTTCCAGTTTCTCTTTGGCATATCTGAAATGCCAGCATCACCAGTTTTGTGCTTTGGGTCATTGTTAATAAAACAAGGGTAACCTGAACAAAAGCACTGAGATATTGGGTCTGAAAAGAGGAAGCTAAGTGACCAACGGGCGGGTCGTGTATAGAACATGGCTAGGCTGGACAAAGGGGTCATTCAGGTCCCTGGGAGCACAGAGCAGGATGGTGAGAAATTTTGTCATGGTACTCAGAACAGCACAAAATTTAAAACTGATGAATTGTTTATATCTTGAATTTTTTATTTATTATATTTGGATTGCCATGACCATGGGGAACTGAAACCTCAGAAAAGGAAAATGGATAATGAGGACTCGTGCAGTTCACTTTTCTAGCCATGGCTGGAAATGAGAAGAAAAGATTTATGATGACTGGTCATTGGATGTGGTGGAAATAGAGTGTTTTGAATTTTCCTTTCTAGGGTTCTTCCTTGGGTGATACACCATGATCCATCACCGACTAAATGTAAAATGTGTTTAAGAGACTGAATAGGATACAAACCCAGCCAAGATAAAGAAAACCTTAGGAGACAGTTTCCCTAAACTTATCAGAAATGATATTATTTCCTCACTAAAATGGCTGATTCCCTTTACTGCCCAATCACGTAGAATGTAACTACTATGTGACAATTAAACCCACAAAACTTCATAAATCTTTAAATTATGCATGTGCACTGAATGCAGTGAGAGGGTATGACAGAATATGCAGAATAGTAAGAAATATTATAATTAATAAGAAAGGCAACATAGTCTTAAAATATAACTGGCAAAGCTGTTGTGTGTGCAGTTT